CTTGGTGCAGCACCCCCTCCCCTTCCCCTGGCTTCTAACCAGCTCCTTGTCTCCAGGCCCTCCCTTGACTCAAAACCTCACGTGTGCTGGCTCCACTCCTACAGCTGACTGGCTTTCCTTTGGCTACACACGCTTGTAATTCATGACAGTACTAAAACAAGTCAACAGCAGAAGAAAAGGGGTCAAAGTAGCTGGTTATGAATATTTCTCTTAATTCTAATCAAGGCTCAGGTGGAACATCATTTTGTCTTCCAATCCTGTTCTATTTTCTTTTCCTGTATCCACAGCACCTGACACCCCACAACCAGACTACCAAGAAGCATACCTACCACAAAATGAATTTTCAGCACTAAGCCCTTGGAGCCGCTCCAACTTTCTGAACCCTCGTTCTGCCTTTAGAAACGTTTCCCCGCAGATGGATCGAATGTCAAAGTCCTGGGCTACCAATAACAGAAGAACACGCAGAACACTTTTTTTCTCTTTCTTGCATCCTCTGGCAACTCACAATTAGTTTTCAACAAAAATAAACAGAATTACAGGAAAACCCTGCAGGAGAGGCAGCATGAATGCCTCTGCAGACACCACCAGAGTTGTAAGTCTTTGACTTCTACTGTCAGCTGATCTTGTATAAGCCAGAAACGTGAGTTGTGCACTGGTAGGAGGACATTTTAATTTTGTTATCTGGCTCATGGGGAAGCACCTTCACCTCTGAAATCAGGAGGTGGTGTGTTGGGTACATTGCAATGAGGCTTGGGCAGTTGCCCAGTGATAGCACTGTAGTGCTGAATGATGAGAAAGGGACTTGTGCTTGGAAAAAGAGCTGATGAATGCATGGCGCATTTCAGAGAACAATATTCTGATGTCCACTCCTTCTCTCAAAACAGATTCTTCTTTAAAATGCTGATCAAGTTGGACAATATAGCGATTCAAAATAAATGCTCCCACAAAATTTGAAAAATTGAAATCTTAAGTGCGAAGATTTGAAAATTAACCTATATAAATCTATACATATATACACAAATATCTGTATGCACCTATAAATAGAAATTTACAGAGAGAGATATATGTACACACAGACATTGATGGAAAGGGAATTGAGAAATACTAGTATAAACATCTAAAAGTAAAGGGCATGGTGTGGTCCTAGGATGTCTTTATTCTACATCATTTCCACTCCCTGCCAACCCCGCAATAATTTAAACTAAATAGCTAATCAAATGAGATCAAATGGATAATGCCACCCCTTGTGGGAATTCTGCAGCAAAACTGTATCAGTCAGCTTTATCCCCTTTGGAAAGGTTAGTTCCATCTCCTGTGGACTATATGATGGCACTTAGGTTGCCATGCTAACAGCTCCTCCAACAGTGGGACAATCGCTTTTCTAATATCAAAAGGAAAGCTGAATTTACTGCATAAAATGCAGTAAATGTACGTATCAGAGATTTAAGAATAAAGCATAAGATTACTTCCTAGAAAAAATCTGAGCCAACCACTTCACTCATGAAGGACTGGACTTTGCATGTTTCCTCTTATTTAATCCTCAAAAAGTCTGCTAATGAGAACCTCCTGCTCATTCACAGTGGTAGTGCTGCTAACAGTGTATGAACTCCATCTTCCTCTCTGGTTGCTACACAAACTCTATCTAGGGTCAATTCAGGAAAGACCTTTTCTATACATAGCACAGAGAAAAGACGACCATCACCCAGGTTCACACAGTTCATTGGCAATGCAGAAACCATATGACCAAAGGAGTGTTTCCCCTCCGATATGCATTACAGAACACACCAAAACTTTGTTATCAGCTTTGTTATTGCCTTGTTCATTCCCTTAGTTTATTTGCATTTCCCTAAAATTCCTGACTGACTGAACTTGGTTAGTCAAAATGACTGGTGCACACACAAATTTTCGTAGCTCATTGATCATTCCCCATTATGAACAAGCAATAGAAGTTCTTAAACAACTCTGGGCTTACCCCATACCAGGCTACTTTAACTCATTCTTGATCTTTAAGATGGGAGGATGATCCCCCCTTCCTGGCTGTTTTGTCTATTAACATCATATGATGGCAAAGAGGGAGGCATAGCTTGTCTATAGCTATTTCTAAATTACCTATTACTGTGGACTCCCAATCTTGCTTGAAGGGCGTCAGTGTGATCATACAACAAATACGAAATAATTCAACTGTCAGTAATATTGCTAGTTTAGCCAACATAATGTATATCTGAGGTGGTATATCAGCACACATACAGAGAGCCACAGTGCAGCTGTGTTTTCCCCTATGCACCTAGAACTGTAGTCCACAGTCTTACTAAATAAGACAACTCAAAATGCTGGATAAGGAGCTGGAAATCTTACAGCTCATAGCCATCTCCATCTCTCCAACCATCTTGGTAAAAAAAAAAACAAAACAAACAGAAAATGACTGTTAGGCTAACACACATATGCTAACAGATTTTTATTACTATTTTTTAAAACTCATTTTCAGTGTTAAACAAACTGGAAAAAGGATTTGATTCATGGTCACATTAGAAATCTACTCAACCCAAGCCCCTTGTCACAAATGAAATCATAAACCAAAAGTCAAACATGATTTGTGAAATTAACATTTGTTGAGGAAATACTCCCCAGTGCTGCATCATGATTAGTCTCTGGCATCTGAAATATCACCCATAATTCACAAGCTCCTCTGAAACTATGCCACTACTGCTACTGCTGAGATGGCATGCATGATGGAAAGGTGCTGCCACAACCAGAGAGCAATCCCTTTTTTGATGCTGGTGAGAACTACAGGTCACTGTGTCTTATTATTTGGGAAAGTACATGCATACACACTTCTCAGCCCCCACACACTTGAAACACTTTGCCCCTCCACAGGCACTCTTCTCCACCTCTTAGATCTATCCAAGGCCACGGCTGTTTCTAATTTTGACCACGGAGGTTTGGCAGAAGCTCTGCATTGTGCCCTTTCTTTAAAATAGTGACTAATAAAAAATGAAACGTAATTAACAGTCATTGGCTCTTTCACAGAGTCAGTGTCTTTCAGCAGAGGGATTCAGTGCCTTTGCGGGGAGATGCGAACAGCTCAATCTTACAGGCAGAGGAGCTACAGCACAAAGAAGACTTAGTGATTGTTAAAGGCTGAACGGTCACTGGCAAAGGACACTTTGGAGCCCAATATTTTTTAGAAGCCAGGATATCCAGATATAGCTTAAAGATATGGGATGCTTCCCTTTTCAAGGTGATTTTCAGCAGGAAGATATTTTCCTGCCAAGGAACGCAGTCATTTTCTGGAAATCTTGGTGTATGACCATCCCCACTGCTCTGAGCACTAGATATTTTTCACATGGAGCAAAATAGCCCCCGAGCCTTTCGGGGTAAAGAAGGAGAGCTCAGCTCAGCTGCTGGCTTCACAGGCATTCAGAGCAAGAAGAAAGCTTCAGCACCTCTATAACCCATCCCCTCACTCCAAGTGATGATCATGGCCTTTCTTCTTCATGTATTCATACATTGTCTCCACCGCTCAAGTATACTACACCTACCTGGAATACATCAGCTGTTTGCTGCGTTTATGCAAGTGTGCATGTGTTTATGTGTGTGTATACGTAAGATTACACAACATACAAATAAACAAGGATCACAAAGAAGAATATCCCCCCTGTCTTAACCAAAAGAAAGCCTGGGGCCTCATCCTACTCCCCTTTACACCAGAATACAGAGGAATGTACTCTTACAAATGGTGTCTCTCTTTTCAGGATTAAAAGAACTTATTGGTTGTAAAGCCTCACTTCCCTTTGCTACCTTTCTCCTGCACGCAGAGCAGGCTGCATTAGATCTGGGCCTCTGTCCTCAGCTGGGGCAAACTGGGCTTAATGGAACTGTGACCATTTATGCCACTGAGGACAGAGCACTCGGAATGCAGCTCAGAGAACATCTGAACCAGCCTCCACACGGTGCCTCCACCCAGAGCTCACTCTAGCAACTGCATTTCACCGCGGATGGCAGGCTCTGCTGCAAAGGATGATGGGGAATCCAAAAGAAATTATTGCCTGCTCTACTAAGCTAACCCTTAGGCACAGAGGCCTCACTTCTTGGAATAGGAATTCGTTGCTCCAGTAACAAGACTAGCTGAATAGTCCATGAGGGATTGTTACCTCCATTCAACACACTTTCTTTGAGTAAACAGTCATTCCTTTCTTGTGTTTTGACATTAAGGAGAGGTCATCAATGGATGGTGGTTTTTAAAAATAATTTTTTTTTTTTAACTACTCTCTTCTACTTGCAATAACCTGTTAAAAAGCTGAAAATAACACTGAGTTCCCTACTGGGTTGCCCTTTTCCATTTGGAGAACATTGATTTTTTTTTCCTGTTGTGCCAAGATTAATGTGGCCTGTTTGTTTGACAACAGATTCAACATATCTAGTGCCCTGTCAAGCTAAAATGACTCTGTCTGTGGACAACATCCCTGTCTGGCACTGGCAAAGATCTGAAAAAAAAAAAAAAGGCTTTGCTACTTAACTGTTACTGCAGAACCACCAGGAGATTTCAACAGCCCTTAAAACCAAAAATTATTATTGATGAGGCAAATTTAAAATATTGTTAGTGAGAGCTGAGGGTTTCAATGAAAACTATTAGGCAAGGGAGGTTATGCAAATTATCCACTGTAACAGTTTTGCTTCAAAATGGTTCCAGATCTTACAGGTACAAACCTTCCTCCCCTCTTGCTGTTTGATAGAAAATGTTGGTTTGTCCTCTCTCCTCCATTTTAAGTAGGAAAAGAAGCAGCATATAAGTAAAGTACAGAGAAGAAAGTGAGAAAAGCCAAGGAAATAAGGAGTGTTCCTTCCTCATCCAAGTACCAGATATCACACGAACACCAGCTGAGGGTGAACACACCCTGCTCCATTCTTTCAGAAATGTTACCATGTTCCAAAACCCTCATCTCCCTCCCTTCTTTCCTCCTTCCCTTCCCCTTTCTCTGGCAAAAGCCAGTAATACCTACAAATATTTTTTATTTTCGTAAACATCATGCAGCTTTAAAACGTGAGGATGTTCTATCAACTTCAGGATGGCTATTTCCCGCTCCACCTGAAAGAAACAAAAAGAAATAGAGAAGATTAGAAGCTTGGTCTTAGAATACATTAGGTATCGTCACACATTTTTTCCCATTTATCCATTTTCCACTCCTCTTTATATGCAGAGGATATGGCAACTTATAACAATGTATCATATTTAGCACTCATATAATTTAAGAAAAATTCAATTTATACAGCCTCAGCACTCCCTGCCCTGCAGAAAAGAAAACCAGCAACATTTCAAGGTTGAAAGAAAAGTCCCAAATCTACCAAAGGGAATTAGCTGTAGGAGTTATATGAGCATTCAAGGCTGTTCCTGCTTCACAATCCAAAGCCAATGACATATTCTCAAAGTACAGAAACTCTAAGATGTCACTTAGGGCTCTCCTGACCTCCCACAGGCACAGGTGTGGCCATGCTGCATTATGTATTGTATACTCAATTAATATTAGAAAATCCCCATCCTGAAGAACTTGCAATGTATGCAGGGGAGACAAAGAGCGGAAGACAGACAGAAATGTGATTTTATAGCTGCAGAACTGAGGCACAGAAAGGAAAAGAAATATAAGAAGTGACATAAGAAGTACAAGGCACAACAAGAAATTAAACCCGATTACTGGAGATGCAGTGTTCAGAGCCTTAAGCGTAAGACTGTGCCTTCTCTCAATTCCCAATCTGTCCGAGCATGGCTACTTCTAAGAGTGTGTCTTCAACACGGAGTTAACAAGTTGTGACTAAGTCCCTGTAATTAGCGCAAGCCCTGTTCTCACCCAAAATTACTATCATGACTGCCGTGGTGCTTTTAACTTGAATTTACTAAGGGTATTCATTTGAGATGGAGTCAGTGCAATTCCTCAGCTGCTAGCAAAATTGCTCTGTGTTGCTTAAAACTACACTGTAACTGCTCTGATTTGACCTAGGCTAACTCGAAGGGAATTAATGTAGCACTGTGGAGACTGTAGATTACTGAAATAAACTCTGCAACAAGACGCAGTCTAAGCATTGCACAGTCGGGCATGACAAATTTCCAGGAGTCCACAAAGGCAGGAAAAAGACCTAAAGAAGCAAACAAAGACAACTAGGTAGGTTTTTTTCCATTCCTTCAAATAACTGATTGTCCTGGAGCTGCTATGCTAACAAACAAAACATGAACAAACCACAAAACCATCCCTGAACATCTCCCCTGCAGGGATCAGACGAGTAATTAGGAACTTGCCCCAGTATACCTTTAGTTCTTGATGTCCTTTAATTTCCTGAGATATCATCCTCTGCTAAGCCTGAACACAGACAACTTCCCCTGAATGCCAGTAAGATACTCACCAGGAAATCAGAAAGTGGTAGTTTGCCAGCACTGTGCAGAGGAGGAGGATTTCCCAGCATGTTGGTTATCACCCCAGATCTCTCTTCCTCTACATCACCACACAAAAACAGCAAAAGCAACTCTTGCACCACATCACCCTTGGCCTTCCTCACATATCAGGATGGAGGAAAGGGTGTTTGTACATGCGTCAGTCTTTCAAAGACACTTATTCCTCTCTGCAGAGCCAAAAGTCATCTGAGGGATGCACTTCCACACTTGGGATCTCTGGAAATAGCTCCTTCAGAGAAGGGAGGAAGAGGAAAGTGTATCAGGAAGCTCTAATGGAATTAAGTGTGTAGGTGCACATGCATGTAAACATGTATGTATGCAGTTCACCACTGCCAGAACTGTTATGAATTCAGTGACACACAGTACTTGATGGTGACAGCTCTGCAGGCATAACTTACTCATGACCAGCACTTAGATGAAAGCTGCTTGTACAAATAGGAAATGAAAGTTGGGTAGATTTCAACTGTACAGCTATTCCACCAAAAAAAACAGGGGAAGAGCTAGTTTATTCCATTTTTGTCTCCTCTTCAAAAAGACCTGTTACTCTTTTCTCTTACAAGGTATGCACTGATACTTGCAGAGGGCTTGTTCAGCCCTATAATCGATACAGTTGGATTTGCTTCAAGAATGAGTAAAAAACAAAACAGAAGAAGCACCCACGCCCGTAACACTCTTCCAGTAGTACTGAGGTTCACCATCAACACCATATACCACAGCTGCTCAGAAACTGGAACTCCAACAAAGTTCCCTTTGGATGGGGGAGACCAGGTATTACATGGGGAATGTGACCATTGCATTAGCTATGGCAGGGATCATCCAACCCCGTTCTTCCTCCTGGGTGATATCCTGTCTGTGAAAGATAGGCTGTCTAACTGCATTGGAGATTCAATTCTCAAAAACCTCTTGCTGGGTGCAATGGCAATGTACATTCAGACCAAGTGAGTGATGGATGGTACCATCCAGTCAGGGTCCTGCTTGGTTACTGTCCTAAAGCATGAGAAGAGGCAGTGATTGGAGGAGGGGATTCAGTTATGGCACTGCATGGCCTACGTTTGATGAGAGAAAATCAGACCAGAAAGCAAATATCTATTTACTACCTACAGATTTATGCTAGGAACCAATTAAAAAGATATAATCTGAGTTACTTTACTTTCATCTTTTTAAGTGTGTGAGTGTGGAAGGTTCTGTGCATATTTTTAACTTCCTGGGAACTAAATCCTGAGAGGAAATACAGTTTCAGAGGTCTTGATTTCAACCCCAGGTATGCAGAAAGCATCCGGCTTGATCTGCCTGGCAGCATTTCACTACAATCTATTCAGTTCAGTGGTGTGTTGCACCACTCCAGCACAGACAGCAGTCAACTTTCCACAGTCTGCTACCTCTTCTAGCTGCAAACCAAGGACAAAACTAATCTACTCATCTCAGTAAGACTTTGTATAATCCTTCAGTGAAAAGGGGCTTTATGAAGGAAAAGAGTCATTACTGTATTTCTCATAGTCCAGGCCTTGGCCCTGTGTAGAGGAGCAAGACACTAATGGCTGTTATTACTTCAAGAACTAGAGATTCCCAGCTCCCTAAACAGCAATCTGATAAAGATCATCCTCAAAAATCTTACAGCAGTATCCTGCCTCTTTTCGCTTCCAAAGAAAAACAACAGTTCACAAAAACGTGCAATGGACCACCCTCTCAAAATTACTACTGCAGTCATTACTAATGGGTGACTCCCCAGATCCTATTCATTTTTTTATATCCCCACAGAAAAGCCAGTAATTGATACGGGTTGGACACAGACTGTAGACCTCAATAGTGACTTTACTGATGCATGGCTCAGGAGGACCTAGCAGCCACCATGTCATTAGCAAAGGAGAGGAAACTGAACTCATTGGCAAAATAAGAGGCCTGAAATAGCACGCAGCTTTGCCTTCTTCCTCAGGGCTTTGCCAGCCCTTGGCATGCCTTTTTGCACATCCCTGTGTTTGCAAGCCACAGAGTGCTGTCCAGCTCAGATCTGGCAAGGACAGGGGAATGGAGAAACCCTGCAGGGGTGTTTGCTTTAATGCAGATGCAATTATCAGAAAGCAGGCCAAGCTCAGAATAGCCTGTCTAGGGAGGCTCAGAGTCTGTGATAAACAGGAAATATGGAAAAACATTTGCATAATAGTTAAAAGAGAAAGGAACAAAACGAAGCTTTCTCTGTCACACAAACACCGGGTCACGTCACAGGGTCCCAACTACAGCCTGGGTTGCCTCACACCATGGTAGGTTACCGACTGTGCAGCACTCCAGCACCTTGGAGCTGGGGGAAAAGAGCTCTGAAAGGCTGTGCAGGGCAAATGGACACACATCACTAACTTGTAACCTTGCAGGTGCCAATTAGAGGTTTTAAAAATCCATGCAGGAGGCTGATTTGACAGGATGCTCCAGCGATTCAGCTAATGACAAAGTGCAACATGGGGGCAACGCAACCCTTAGAGGAATAATGCAAAACTCTGGTTCCCTCTCCTCCGTCACTACTTCACCCTCCTTCTCCCCAAGAGGAAATCACATCTCTCTGGTTTAAGCCCATCTCGTCGGCAGTCTTCACTGGTGACAAGTGCTCTGTTCTCCTGCTTTCCGACTCACAGACACACAGGGTGCTAATTCACCTAGAAGGCAAGGAGGGCAGGTTGAGGGAGCCTGAAGGTTTGTCTCAGTGATGAAGAAAGTTTCTTCTCCTCTTGTATTCATTTGCTCAATAACAATTGGATCACCCATCACCCATGAGGTGCTGTGAGAACTTGAAAAATGAAGTGGACAGCTGTCTCGTATTACCAGGCTGTATTTTACCTACCAAATCTGTGCAAGCACTATGCAACGATCATTAATAGCAGTGTTTCTCAAAGAACACCTATGCCCAAAAAGCTGGGGGACAGCAGATGACATTTCTCCTCGGATGCTTTCAAGTTCACCAGCAGCACACCACAAAGCTCTCTCTTTCTCCATTGACATCAGTGATTCCCATATTGCTCAAAATGCTTGCCTGAGAAGGAAGTCTGGAGCTGCAGAAGTGGTGAGGGGCAATAAAGCCCTGCAGGCTGCAAATGTGTTGTGCTGTTTTTCCTACTCAGAGCAAAATGGTGGAGGGGCAGTACGGGTGGTAGGTTTTCATGTGAAAATCAAGCTCTCTAATGTTGACTCTGCTTTGCTTTGAAGTAATTAATGAAATACTTTTCAGAACTCATGGCTGTCCCTCAGTTACTAGAAACTCAACCTGGACATGAACCTTCTCCGAGTTCAGAATTATTTAGACTCAGGATGAACTTCAAAGGATGCAGAGATTTGGATGCTCATCTAACTCCTCAGGCTAGAACTCAGGCTGAAAACCTTGTACCAAAGTACCTACTTTCTCCAATGTCTGGCCTGCCGTGCAGTAATTTGCATTTCCATGATGAGAGCACAGAAAGCAGAAAGTAAACCACTGTGATACTTCACTGAGTTGAAATGGCAAAAACAAAGGTATCGGATAGGAAAAAACTAATCTCAAGTTCTCTGGAAAGTCTGCATTCCTGCTGTAACAGAAATACCCCAGGAACAGACCCTGGGATTTTATCAATTTGGTACTTTTGCTTCCATGTTATGTGGGACTGAAAGTTAAAAAAGGTAAA